GCCTCATTTATTTTGTGTTCGAAGTGCCCCTTCGGAACACATCGAACAGCCCAGGTTATGCAGTTCAGTCAACTACCGAAATACATTAGCTATTGCTTATTGAAGGCCGTTGCAAACGGCTTTTATTTTGTGTTCGAAGTGCCCCTTCGGAACACATCGAACAACCCACACATCGAACAACCCACACATCGAACAACCCACAACTACAATTAGATTTACTCAACCACAAATTTCTTAGTCATTTTTTCGCCCTTATCATTTGCCAGTTCAATCAGGTAAATACCTGTAGCCATTGTTGATGGCAATGATACCTGTTGCACCGGGTGCACGTCCATACGGCCACTTAAGAGGTTCCTGCCGGTAAGATCGGTCACGGCAAACTTGCTGGCATTGAAATCACCGGCGATGTTTATGATTCCAGCTTTATGGGCGGGATTTGGATAAAGGGTTATGCTTTTCGGGGAAGGCAACATGGGTACACCCGTTGGTGCGGTTACCTGCCGGGCAATGCCATTCAGTGTTACGCGGGGCGATACCATAGAAGCGCCGTTGCCATATTTAAAGCCACCACCTGCGATCACAGCACCTTTAAAAATCACCATTTTATTAAGTACACTATCCACATCAAACCAGCTGCCTGCACCAGCCATCCGTGTTGGTGATATATCCATACAATTATTTCCAAAATAACCAACGACGGGAATAAAACGGAAACTGCCACCGAGCATTAAGCTATTACCCGCCACACAGAGTGTATTCAGTGATAAAACAGCAGCAGCGCCCGGTATAAAATTCTGTACAGGATTCGGGTCAACGGCTTCCCATGCATTGCCTTTTAACTTCACGATCAGGCTCAGGGTATCAGTAGCATCTGTTCTTTTGCAAACAGCATATAAAGTATCTCCGAACACTTCCAGGTCCTTCACTTCATTGCTGATCTTATTGGCATACGCTGTAAATGAAGAGGTGCTGTTCCATTTGATCACATTTGCCGCCTGGTTGTTGTAGCTGAATGCGCCGCCCAATACCAGATCTCCGCCACTGACGAACATGGTATTTACAGGACCGTTAAGGCCTGGCAATTGCTGCCAGTTGGTACCATCCCACCGGGCAAAATTTATATTACTTAAAGCCGCACATACGTCAAAGCTGCCAGCTGCATAGAGCGCCCCATTATAAACGGCCAGGCTGTTAATGGTGCCATAAGTACAGCCAGCACTATGCCAGGCACTGCCATCCCAGTAAGCAATATTGTTTGCAGCTACCCCACCGGCTTCTGTAAAGGTACCAGCCACAAAGATCTTGTTGTCAAACTTAACGATGGCTTGTACCGTGCCGTTCACACCGGTTCCCATCTTGTGCCAGGTATATACACCAGCTTGTTCGGTCACATACGCAATATTATTCACCGGCAAGGTG